AGAGAGAGAGACAGGTCAGCGCAGGGCCGCTGGACAGCACTACATACACAGAGAGAGAGAGACAGGTCAGCGCAGGGGCTGGTACACAGAGAGACACAAAAGAGACGTCAGGCTCAGAGGGCATGACCCCCACCCTGGAGGATGTGGACAGACCCAGTTCCCCGCCCCCAGGGCTCACCCACGGCGTTGCTGTTGAGCAGGAAGACCCCGTGCGCGAGACCGTCGCCCTCCTGCAGCAGGTAGAAGGGGTGCGAGCCGTACAGGTTGGCATCGCTCTGCGGGAGGAGAGAGAGGCGCTTCAGTCCACTGTGCCCATTTCCTGTTCGATCTGAAATCGTGGCAAAGCAGGTGATGCGGCCTGAACAAGACTGATCCTGTGGCAGGAGAGGAAGAGGAGGAGGAGGAGGAGAGACTGGAGGGGACACAGCCAGGGCGCTCGAGGGGCAGGGGGTCCACGGCGGAGTGTCAGACCCACATGTGGCGCCATGTCTCTGTTCCACAGGGTCACGGACGTCCAGTTGAGGTCAAGGGTCAGGGGGGTCAGATGCTCCCCCAGCCCAGACAGCAGCCGGGAGGGCAGAGAGGTGGACAGCTGCAAGAACTGGTCAGCAAACAGCAGGGGGGCCACCGTGGTGTTCAGCCTGAGAGAGATGGGCAGTGTCAGCTGGAGTAGGGAGCACACGGTCTGCACAGGCTTGACAACATGACTGAGAACAACATGGCAGAGGAACTTGAAATGAATTGTACAACTGTCTGCCAGTATTAAAACCTGAAAAAGAAGAGCACAGTGTTTAGAAGATGAAAGGGATACGTGTTCTCCATGGAGCTGTTTACAAGCAGGAAATAAACATGCCTCAGGATGAGGATGGAAAAATCTGTATTAAACACAAGAATCACCGAAGAGAAACATCTCCTGGGCTTGATGATATTCTACCCATTGTACTTAAGGACACATGAGATGTGATTCATATAGTTTCCATTAGACACAAAAAAAGACAGCGATCACACCCATGGGCTGGTAATGTATTCATGAGGTGCCCATTCATTAAAAGACTAGAAAGCTGAATCAAGTTAGTAATCAGAGACCTGTAAGTCTCCCTTCTCTTACATGTATCAATAGGAGGTCATGCAAACAGTGCAGAAGCTACACAGGAAACTCAAGAAGATCTAGAAATTAAAAATGGGGGCAAACACCTGGCCGAAAACTTCTAATGCAGATAAATCCACCAGTTATCTGAGTGTTACATGCAGGTAGGAAAACATAAATGATAAAAACTAGATTGGAATGTGAAGAAGTAATAAAAGAAGCAATCAAAATGTCAGAGTTTAAAGTTTATCAAAATTAAAAACTGTACAATGCATGAATAATAAGCATGATCATTAAAAATATCATTGCTCTCAGTTCGGGGAAGAGTACAGATACATGCACAGGTTCAAGGGAATGTGCTACACTGACAGGCTGAAGGAACTGAACCCTTCCAGTCTTGAACAGAGACGACTATCGGCAGATCTGCTGCACGTACGTGGAATCCTGAATGAAACTTACAAACTGAACCCAGGAGGGTTCTTCATAATTCACAGTGAAGCACGAACCACATGACAACTCACATGTCAGGGAAGCCCATTTAAAGCTGATAACAGGAGGCACTTCTTTACATAAAGAGTCGTAGGGGTTTGGAACAAGTTGCAGCCACACTGCCAATGGCTTCCATCAGATCAAAGACCCACTGACCCTCCTCCATGTGCCCGGACCCCCGACAGACTCACAGCACACGGCCGCTGGAGCTCCGCCGCACCACCAGGCCGAAGGGCTCGGGGACGAAGTCCACAGAGTAGAGGGGAGAGGGCGGCCGCGGGCCCCTCCGAGGCACGGGCAGCGGCACCTCGTAGCGCGGAGCTGTGGGGTCTTTCAGCTGGAAACGCACACAGGGGGTCAGAGCTCACGCAGACACAGAGTTGGCACGACAGGGGATGCATGGCCCCAAGACACAGAGAGTCTACTTCCCCTCCCGCTCACTACAGCCCCCCCTAGACACGCCCCTC